CTCTGCGATTGATCGGTTTCTTCGCCTATCTGCAAACAGAGAGAAAGAGAAACCTTACTTCTCGGCGTGCCGACGAGAGACTTTCATTGTGAATGCGTTCCATGTTGCATACAAAATAAAGTTACGAACCTAACGGTCGCATTGTGTTTATTACTCCTCGTTCGGAATTAGTTCTAACCACCTCTTATCCAAAGCCAGTTTGAAGGCGTGGATTCTAGGCACGTTCAGCAAGGCTTTTGATTCAGTGAATGATCGCCTACTGTTGACCAAATTAGAACGATTTGGAATCCAAGGACATTCGCACAGGTGGATAAGTGCCTTTCTCTCACAACGATCGTTCTATGTGACGGTTGGTGAGAAAAGGTCCAACACCAGTTCAGCTGATCAGCGGAGTTCCGCAAGGCTCAGTATTAGGACCGCTTCTATACAGTTCAGCTGACTAGCGGAGTTCCACAAAGCTCCACAAGGACCGCTTCTATCTCTCCTCTATATAAACGACTTGCCAAGCACTTTGTCATCATCGTGCTACATTTTTGCAGATTACGTCAAAGTGGTTGGTTTGAATAGGAGAAGTGATTTGGAGCGGGATTTAGAGCAGGTAACTAGATGGGAAAAGGAGTGGGACCTAAGTCTTAACGCTACCAGGAGTTAGGTGCTCACAGGGGCGCTTGACAGAATGGTGGTTCACTCGGAAGAACACGAATTCACCGTCGAACCAGCTACTAGGGCGAAGGACTTGGGGGTCATAATATCGAACAACTTTAAGTGGTCTGACCAATGTACAGTAGCGGCGAACAGGGCTAGGGGGAAATTATTTAGACTACGGTCGGTTTTAACATGCAGAAGACCGGAAGTCTTCATTCCCGTTTACAAAACCATAGTCAGGCCACATTTAGAGTATTGTGTACAGGCTTGGGCACCCTTATTCAAGAAGGATGCTGCCTGTTTAGAGAAGAATGGTTGAAGGTCAGAGGGGAAAAACATATGAGGAAAGACTTGAAGCACTAGGACTTTTCTCATTAGAAAGAAGAAGACTGCGAAAGGACCTGATAGAAACCTTCAAAATCATGAAGGGAATATCGGGGATAGAAGCTGACAGTTCCTTTACATTAGCTCCCCAACACGGCACTAGGGGTCATGAGCTCAAGCTCATGAAGCAGAGGTGTCGACTAAACATGGGAAGCACTTTTTAAGCAATACGATAGTTGACAGTTGGAACAGGCTTCCCAAGGAAATCGTCGACCTCCAAACTGTGCAAGCATTTAAGACTGCACTCGATAAGCGATGGGTGGAACTATTCCAATCACTGGCAGTGTAGACGTGTGTAGATGTGCCAAATGTTTAGGATGCCCTTTCCCTTTTTACTGGTACACGCATGGAATGCTCAGGTCTAATAATTCACTCGTC